TATTGGTGGAGAAACGCTATTAGTGACACCGTTAATTCTAACAAATCTGGATGTCGACCCTGCCTCACTTACGTTTGATGTGGCCCCATTTCGTTCAACGTTGAATGCATTATCGGCAAAAAAAAAAAAAAAAAAAAAAAAAAAAAAAAAAACCGCATTTGTTGAATTATGTATTTCTGAACTCAATGACAAGTAAATTGGACATGTTTTGGGCTGTATGTTGTTATTTACTGATCAAAAGCCTTGCTGTAAACTACACATACATACATGGTAAAGACACAATTCACAATAAATATAATCTAACCATCTATGATAAGTAATACAAATATGTTAAGTATTTAAGTATGGACATTTTTCTGTCTAAAAATTTTAAACTATTAAATGTACGGAAAGCACTTAATTTGGAAGGTTTTGTTTATGATTGAAAACGATGAAAAATACACATGAAAACATTAAAAAATAAAACAATGTGACGTATTTCTATAGTTTTGCTTTGGATACCAAATGATTTAATCAGTTACCCGACGAGCATTCTGTGTGTCAGTTTTACCTGCATGCAAGGCAGGTACGAGTAAAGCAATGCAGGGTATCTTTCTATTCTATTTTTTCAAAAACCTCTTAAGATATCCTTCAAAAAAGACATATAAAAACCTGAAGAATTGACACTACATGTAGGCTTAATTAATGAAAGTATATCGCCACAGCTTGCATATATTATCAAGATATCTACCAGTCCATATACTAGATAAAGCTGTGTACGTGTCTGCAGGCTATTTTGGTTTTATAACAAAAATAATGCGCCTCTTTCACATATCTTCATTGCCGAAAGCATTTTTAGGTATTGTCCGTCATCACCGAAGAAAATGCAGCAAGCCTAGTTGTACAGCGCACTGTATTTTAACTGAGAAATAAAATATTAAATTTCTCGATTCACCATCTAACAATCTCTGTTTTCTTGCCTGTAGTTGGCTCATTTCTGTGCTTCAGCCACCTTTTTATTTTTGACACTGTGCACGCTTCGAACGACTTTTTATAAAAGCACCAGTATAGTACAGTGCTTTTATAAAACGTACGCCAACAACACATACATGTAGATGTGCCTTTCTGTAAACAGCAGAGGACTACAGTGTCCCCTGTGGCGAACTATTCCTGTCTTGCGCACTTCTCATTTCCGCGAAAGATGAAAATGGCCTATAAGGTAAATCTTTATGTCGATTTAGAACACCCTGGTTTGAATGTCATTCTTACCGTTTTCTAGCCTGTCATGCACACACACGTGCCCTAAGTGACAAAAATGAGGACAACTCACGTTATAACGCCATCAAACGCAGTGTCTCTGACGTCTGTTGAAAACTAATTAGCAAATAATTATACCAGCATTTACGTCGGTTTAATGTACCTGTAAACATCATGTGTTCAATTTTCACTTTGAAGTTTTTTCAAATAACAATTAATGAGTTTGACTTAAAGCAATGGCCGTTTTTTTCTGTTTGCTGTATAGAGTATTACTTTGTTGTCAGTATTTAAAAAGATCGTATGTTTTACACTCCATCAGAGAATTAAGAAAAATTGTGCGGTTGCAGATGCGAGACCAATATATTAAGTTAAACTTATGCTAGAAATGAAGCAATACTTTTAAAATAAGAGACAACAATTATTTCACTGTGATAACTGTCACTAAACCCTTTATAAAGATGGCTGTAGCATTCACCAAAAAACTTTTCAAGTAACGAGAGTGGACAAAATCCTTTGATAAATGCAAGATGATTGGTTAGAATTGTGTGCCTTGTATAACAGATCTGAACAAGATGGCAGGTCACATGATCTGATGACGCAGCCACAGGTGATCTCGGTTCAAGTCAGTTTTGTTCAGTACATACAAAAGGTGCCAATACCTCGTCTTTAAGCCACAGAAATGACTTTCTTACTTTTGTTGATGTGCTGTTTTCAGCGCAAAAAAAGAAGACATCACCCTGTGCGAATTAGGCAAGAAACTGATTGTAATATCATCCAGAGGCATCGTACAATGTAACATACGCGACCAGGCATATTTGGCTGCACTTTTTTGTACTTAACTGCTCTACAGTTTCATTAACATCAATGACATCCCCATTTGATTTTTATTGGTATCATCTTGGTGTAGTGAACATCAAATAAAATAGCAGGCAGGATAAAAACAACGACGAAGAACAGGTTGATGAAGCTCACGATGTCTAAAATGGTCGCAAAGCCAGGATTTGTCACCAAATGGCAATGTTGACGGGTTTTTTTTAGCAAGCTTAGACGTGCTAAACTGTCCTCATTTGATCTTGTTCAGGTATATCAGAGTTTAATTCGGGCCGTGGTTGAATATGCTTGTCCTGTGTGGCACCCTGGATTAACTGGAGAACAATGTAAAATAATACAATCCATCCAGTCAAGGGCACTTAGGATCTTATTCCCTTAATTAACTTATGTTGATGCTCTAGCCAAAGCAAAACTTATTACATTAAAAGAGCGCAGATTTGAACTCTGCAAATCATTTTTTGCAAAAATACAAAATGACACAGACAAGCTGAACTACATTTTAACCTGCAATTCACGCAGGAGACTAAGAAATAGCCTGTCAAAGTTTAACATACCAAAAATGAGAACTGAACGTTTTAAAAACACTTTTATTCCTTTCTCTCTATTAAAAATCAGTGGTCTGAGTTTTACTTTTGAAACTCATTTTGGCCTTTATTGTATCTAATTTTCATTACTCCATCCTCTTTTACACTGATGCCTGTGCAAAAAATTATTTTATTTATTTTTTTTTAATTTATGTTGTTTTTTTTTCAATCTCACTAAGTTCTATTCGCATATCCTATATTATATATTTTAATCTGTAAATTTGTAAATTTTATTCTCACTCCATTTTATGTATAACTTCAACCTTTTGGTTGTCATGTCTTAATAAACTTACTTACTTACTACTTACTTACTTTTTGTAATTTTCTGATTAGAGTTGAATTTAACAGGAAGATAATGCGATGCATAATCATCTAACACTTAATTTTTACCCAAAACTTAAGGCTAATGACTCAGGTATCAGAGATAGCTGATTAGTTAACAACAGAGGAGCGTTGACGTACGTATTTCTTTTATTTTTGTATCATTTAGATTAACAATCTGCTTAATTATATTGTTGCCTCCTTTGACTGCATGTGCAGGTGTGACGCTCTTCTAAAATATGTTCACCTTTTATTAATTCAAAGCCTTAATCAGTTGAGAAGCATCATTATGCAGCTCTTTACTTGTCTTCTCATACCGTATTGATGGCCACTTCGGTTTTCTATTTTTGTAACTTGTTGAGATGTAATAAAAAATAACAATATGCACCTCTGTATTCATAAATATGTAATTAAACACCGACATGAAGAATACAGATTGATTTGAAACTGATCTATGATTGTCAAACAAATTGGAGGCCATCTTGGATTAAGAAAAATGCTTCACAATTTTAAGGAGGTATGCCCTAGATGTAGCAATTGGCGAGAAAACAGAAGCTTTATTAACTTTTCTAGACTAAGTTCTTGCCCACATACATACCCGGTAAGTGAGGACAAATATAATGTACCAGTAAATAAATGTCTTAAGACAAGGATATAAAAGTTTGTACTGCTTTTGGTTTGTTGTATTTGGTTAGATCTTGAATATACGAAAGTTTATCAGAATATTACTTGAACCATGCCACGTGCAACTGCTACTTTGATCCATCCAAGTGTTTTCTAGCGCAAACTGCATGTTGGAAGAGCTGACCTTGCTGCATGGTTTAAATAATGGTCTTATTTTAATCATTAAATTGGATATATGCATGTGATTTAGGCCTACATGTTGGTGCAACAGAAAGGTTTCATGGTATTAACTTACAGCCGAGGGAATTTTCATTGCTGGTGTGCCAACGTTAGTCAGCTTCATGAAACGACGTTGGCTCATGCACCGTCAACATTTGCTATAAGACCATCAGAAATGGAAGCTGGCAGCTAAATGCAGACCCACTGACGTCGTGGTATCTTGGTTCTTAAACCCAAAAAGAACACAAGTTAACAAAACACGTGTGGACAGATAATGGAGAGCAGTGCAAAGGAAAACTCATCTCACCATTTATCTCACCATTACGAAAAGCACAGGGGCCCGTTTAATGCAGCTGTCGTTATTTAGCAATCGCTCGTTAGCCTCTCGTTAGTTATGAGTGCCGTTTCACGTAGCTATCGCTAGTTCTCTCGTTTGTTACCAGGGATATATTTAACAAGTAGGTCAGACCACTCGCAAACCCTAGAGTTTTATCGTACGCATGCATGATATATAAAACAGAAAGGTTTTTTCGTTACCGTTTCACGCAGTCTGTCTTTGTAGGGGGCGTCTCGATAGTCCGAAGGTTCATTGGTCCGAAGGTCAATTGCTCCGAAAATGGTAACATTTTCATCGTTTTTTTTAATCAAGGGTCCATTGGTCCGAAGGTTCTATAGTGAACATTTGGACCAATGAACCTTCGGACTATTGCTACGGCCCCGGGGTGACTTTTTTTTTTTTTTGTAGAGGACAATACATATACCCTTGGTTAATTGAGAATTGTAAACAACGCACTTTTAATTTGCACTTCAATGATATTGAACTTTCTTTAATTGATATTTATAGATGGAACTTAAAGCAATATGGAGCTTAATTCGATTTTTGAATTGTTGTATAGACATATAAAGTGTACATTCTAGCCAAAACTAAAAGAGCTAGCTCAATCGAACCATATGACTTTAACGGATATGTCTGGATACATATCACCCACTGTGATGACCACGAGTGAATGCGAAGACTTACTGGATAAAATAATCAGAAAATCACGACCAGAGGTAATGATTCGATCCACTTTTGCCCCAACGGTTAAAGTCATTAAGAAAACCAGCTAAGGAAAAATAAACTCCTGACAGAAACATATCTAGCTGAATAACAAAATTCTCTAGAAGAATGTGATATAGCTGACTTGTTAAGAGCTGACAAGATTCAAATTCAATTTTCTATAAATCATCAGCATCACCGGCAATCCTACCTTTGACAACTTAAGTTCACCAGGGGTTCCTCCTATACCTGACAGGTCAGCGTTGGATGAGAACAGGTCGGTCATCCCAAGACTCTTGAGTGGTTCTTTTAAATCAATTCGCATGTCTTCTAATACAAACCGAGGGAGCGACAGTGACACCCTTGTCTGTGTAGAAATAAAAAGTTTTAGCAATTCATCGGCAGTAAACTGAGATTCAAAATGGCTGAGTCCATCACGCTGGTCGGGCAGTATGATCAGCATGCTGGCCGTTCCGTGGTAAGGAATTTCTATCATGGAGGCCTGCCATTTCTCGCTATGGGCATACCTAAATAGCCCAGTCTGTGTCATCATATCCACTAACGTGGGCCGAGGATTTGCAGTATAGAAAGGACGTTTTCTTGTCTGCGAGAGGTCGAAGGGAGATGCCCATTTACCCTTGAAGTACACGGCACTTACGAGAGCCAGAATGGTAGAGTAAGTGATGTCGCCTGGTTCTAGAAAATCTTTGATTTTGTCTTCAGTTTGTTCTTCGACCCACTTGTTAATCATATTCCTTGATTCTTCCGGTGAATTTACAAAATCCTGACGTTCCAGTTGCGCCCCATAATACCTGAGACTGTCCTCAATATAGCTAGAATTAAATGAGAACATTTGCCCTCCGAACAATCTGTTGGCAATGCGAACAGTGAAATTGTTATTGGGGTCGTTAGTATCTTCAAGAACGTGGCTGATTTTTCCATGAATATCGGTCATGTTCTCTATTTCCAAGGCGCTATACATCTGGACTTTCATATTCCATCCAGCCCCCAGTTCCAGCATACCCAGTGCAGCAGAGATACTAAGCGGGGAGAAGACGATATTTGACGTCGGTTGTAACGTGCGGATTTTGTTGTAAAGCTTCGATGAAAAGGTGTTGCTTACATTTGCGAATGGGTGGAAACAACATGCAGCTCCTAATCCCAAAATTCCAATCAAAATGGGGAGGTGTGGCAAAAAATTTTCAGAAGCCATGTTTTGTCTATATAAAAATCAGAGAAATGGAAACATTTATATGTAGGGGTAGAACACCCTGGTTTTGTCATTAATGAGGTCTTCTTGTAATGTTCATAAGGTGCGTGCCTTATGTGACAGCAATGAGAACAATATTACGTCAAGAACCGCAGGATGGCTCTGACCTTCAAAAAGATCAACTACATAATTGGAATTTCAACAACATGTTTATAGGCTTAGTAATGTACATTTGCTTTTGGATTAATTGCAGATTGTGTAAAATGCGCAGTCAAAAGATATGGAATGGAAATGTCTCCGTATGTTTAGCCATTTTATCACGCGGCGCTTGAACAAATGTTCTACCAGATGTTTCCAGTATTTAAGTAACATTTAAGTTACATTTAGAAGTGTCTTTATAATTACTTATAGCTTGGCCTAGTTCTCGACGCCATGCATCCGGTCTTCTTGCTTAGCTGTTTTGAACCATATCTTCACTAAGGTACCTCTCAAGTTCCAGAGCGATCCCTTTGTTGCTTCTCTAAACACACTCCAAAGTTTGACCAAACCCATGCGTTTTTATACAAGGGCAGAAATTGCCGAAATGACCACCCCTCACATTTCTGACCACAGAACATGCAACTGCATGCAACAATTGTGTCGAGAGTTGTGTGGTAATTAGGTAACACACCTGGCTACACATGGAGTGACATCTCAGCTTTGAATTTAAAATAGTTAGAGAGAAATCAAATATTTTGTAGAAAATTTACTCGCCAAAAATAATATTCCATATTAAGTGGTAACCCTGTAGAATCATTGCATCATAGTTGAATAAAACCACTAGTGAATAAGAATAAAGGAATAATAAAAGACATATATAAACAAATTTAAAACAAAATAACAAAAATGAAAGGTTAAAAAATAAAATAAAAGTCTATCAGTTAATTCTGAAACTTGTATATCGCACTTGTCAATAAGTCACAAAATAATTATAAGGAATCAGCGTGTTGTTTATGATTATCATTAGCATTGACAAGCCAGATGGCGATAAGCGTGTTAAAGTGCGTACGAATGTTTTAGATAAAATGACAACACTAGAGTTAGTGAAGAGGTATCCATGCCATGTAATGAGAGAGCCCATTGTGATACTGCACTCGTTTTGTACAGATAATCCGCCCTCTAGATTATGACACATTTACGTCACGTTAATCCTAACCTATATGAATCAAATGGAATGCGGGTTGAAGAAAATCCTCTAAACTCCAGGGTGTCACATAATGCCTGTGTTCTCATCCTCGGTGCGTTCCGCAATCTCGTCATTATCAGTTTCCTATCTTAGCTGAAGATCTTCCGCATTTTCGGGATAACTGCGACCTAGTTTTACATTGTTCAGTTTATCTGTGACGTCATACTTAATATTTAGGCGCTGCAGCCTGGAGCTGCGACCTCTATTTGAAATCAATTCTTATTTATATCAATTACTAGTCAAAATGAGAGATAATATTTCAAAAGCTGTGCCAAATGGGACATTCAGCTGACTGCGCCCTAGATGAAGGAGAACGTGAAATGGGACATGTTATGGTTGATTGGGCAGACATGTTGTTTCCGAAACATGTTTGAACACTTAAAATTACGGATGATGTCACAAATTCATGTCTAGATATTGAGATCTTCGGCGACCTAAATCCACGCCCTTACGTTAGGCTAACTGCCATAAATGGGATGATTGATAGCGTAGGGTTTTGATGATAGTGAATGTCGTCCAGACAAAACTGCTAACGTAGAAAAAGACGTAGTGACATTTTGAACAGAAATCCATCACACTAAAGAAGCGCTGAACAGAAAGAATATTTTCAGTAATACTTGCAATATGATATCAGAAATGTCAGAGGAATCAACGCGGCATATTTTGTCCGCAGACGCCATCCAGGAAGTAAATGACGACACAGAAGCAGACGATCGGCCGGAATCTCCTGCTAGGCTCAGCGTTCAGGCGGGCAACACGTACCAAGTGCCCCAAATGATGTCAAAGGAAGAAGATCACCCGAAAACCATGCGTACCCCTTCAATGGCAGAAATCCTTGGCAACAGGAAAGCAACGTTGGCAGCAGCGTTGTTGCTGCTTATATACTTTCTCGTCTGTCTGTCCATGCGAGTTTCCGTGGCTACAGCCGGAGGTTTCTTTCTGTCACATTATTTGAGAAGCATGAATGCCACTTTAGCAATAAGTAATGCTTTCTTTGATAAATTGATTATGCTGGGTGAGTTTTATTGTCGTTTTCACATCAACTTCATTCAAACTTTTCTTTTGGTTAAGTTTGCTGTGCACATTTCCTTATTTTTGAAGAGCAGTACACTACACTTGAGACGGTGTATACTTTTATACGTGGTTCGTATCATACAGTTTGAAGTTAAGGAGGTCAGCATTTCAGATCGCAATATATAGTTATGTGCATTATCTTTGCCGAGTTTATCTCTATCTGATTAGATAACATGTATAATAAAGCTTAAACATCACTCATTCAACGATTAAAGGGATAATAACTCTTCGTATGAGATCTATATTTCACAATAAAAACATTGTGAACAACTCATAGAAATATAATATATTCTGTTGTACAAGAAAAATGGCAGTTATAGCTATTATTCTGATATCTGAGCTTGTCTTCAGGCCACGTGACCTCCACTGATGGCTATACTCTGTTATAATCTCTTAAGAGATTTTAACAAAAAATCAAACTTTTTAGAAAAAATACCAAGGACTAACTTTGAATGTAAATATGGATTCATTAACCACTGTTAAGTATGGAAAAATTGTTGTTTACTCCAGGAAAATTCATTTTTTTGGCCAAAACGAAGAGTTATTATCCCTTTAACTGTAATATTAATTCGAACGGAACTGCCATTAGACAAAACTTTCCATATTGGAGATACTTGCCTTTTGAAATTATAAAGTCTTGGCCTCTAACATTCTGCCACAATCTATTTATCAAGATTGCTTTGAAATCAGCCATTAGATACAGTTTTCACTTTCTTTCTTTCTTTATTATAAGTTGATCAATTTATTTGTTCGTTCGTTCGTTTGTCTGTCCTACCGCTCACTTATTTATTTATTTATCTATTTATTTATTGTTTAATTGTTTGTTTGTCAGTTTTTTAGTCTGCTTGTTTGTTTATTGAATTGATTGTTTTTTGGTTTGTTTGCTTATCAAGTTTTTTTTCATCTCTCCGGTTACTATCCAGGAGCTACTAAAAGCTTTTCACTGTTATGTGGTCTTGCAGCAGACGTCTGGTTCGGTCATTTCTTCATGATTATATTTGGATTCGTGGTGTCATTTGTGGGTAAGAATAAAACATGACGTCACCATTTACAAGACTGAGTTACGTCAGCATTCGATGATAGCCATGCAATGTGCGTTAGATCTTTACACGGCAGAAATGAGCTTTCCTGGAAATTCCGCAATGTTTCCTTTATCACTCAGTTATGCCATATCTACAAATTACGATATGTCTTGGAAACATGCAGAATGTTTCGAATTTTTATGGTTAAGAGTGAAATTCCTCATTCTCTATCTGCAAAGCGAGAGGGATTTAAAACTAGAAATCTTAGAACTCGAACACGGTTTATGGATCGTCACTGTGTGATCTGTTTTGAATAGGTACTTTTTTCTACCTTGGTGATTAAAGATAAACATTGTTGATATTTCTAGAAAAATTAAAGTTTTGCGATATAAAGGTCTAACGCTCATGGTGTGCTTTTAAGAAAAAGCATGTTGGTATAAAATGTAAAGCGGTGAAGGATGTTGGAGATTTGCATTAAAAGTCGTAAAGGATAACTAAATAATCGGCAAGATTTAGGATTCGGGGAATATGGTGAAAGCATTAAAAGTGTATCGCTATGTTTTGGCGTTCACGTTGCCGCCATATGAAGGTGAATCAACATTACATGTATAAATCAATCTTTTTCGTGGATTTTTTTTTTTTTCTTTCAAGCTATTTGCTTGTTTTTACTGCAATGCATATTGCCAATCTTCCTTTTAGGTTTGCTGTTTGTTGGTGTCCACTTTGCTCTGCCGATAAAGGTCTGAACCTTTTTATGTCTTTTTTTCTATTTATATAGAAATGAAGCAAAACATTTTCTATTCTATTAAAATTTTTCAGTTGCAACATATATATCTGTCTTGGTTAATTGAGTCAAGAAAACTCTCATTGAGATGAGCACAATACGTGGAACGGCCCACATATTCCACGCATCAATACATATCTTAAAATATGTAATGTGTTAACTGGCAAGGGATGAGGTAGAATCTAATACTTGTGGTGTGAAGGATTCTGGTATCTTAATGAACAGGTGTTCCCGGTGGTGGCGAAGGATCTTGGATTGACGGGGTTTGTGTTGTGTGGCCTTGCCAGTGCCTGCTTCTACCCCGTTTTCCCTGTCATAGGTGCAAATTATTTTCATCGCCGGAACCACAAGAACGCGTTCCTGCACTGGTAGGTAACTCGTGATTTACCGTATGTACTGATATTACCTTAATAGTGTCTGTGACGTACTGGATAGCATGTACTTTACACAAATATAATCTCATTGGCTGGATTTCCCTTCAGGGGGGCGCACAAGGTGATTTTTTTATAGAGATTTACACAGGTGACGAAGACAAAGATACTGTAACATGTAAGACACAAAACGCAAAAATCACACAGCCAGTTTGGCCAGTTTGGCCTGTTTTATTTATGTTGAAAAGGAAAAAAGAGAGACTTAGAATCTTTTATTGCATTGTCTTGTCCTTTGTAAGCCAAGTGCTTGTACTAATAAACGTAAACATTTTTACCATGAAGTAAAATGAAGCTGGTTTTTATTGTTTTTTTGCAACAAATTATGTTATTCATGCAAATGCGGTGAAGTGCCAATGAACCATTAAAAAACTTTTTGGGAATTTATTACTATCTTGCACCGTTCACATTGACGACGTTTTCATTGTTGACGTATTCTATGTGCACTGTCTCAACTAAGTTCTTTTATAAGAGCGTCCATTTTGAAAATATATATTTAAAAAAATTTGCCTCCCTTTTTCTTCGCTCAATCATTCATTCTTTTTTTCGTACATTTGTTTTCGTCTATTCTTTTCTTTCTTATTTTTCTTTCTTCCCTAAGGCTGATATTTGCGGAAAAATTGAGTGAAACCATCGTCAAAGTGCTCTTCGCTATACAGTATCTCTACCACGATATTTACCAAGACTCGTGGCAAATGTTCCTCGCCGCCCCAGCAGCGACTATGCTGGCCTTTATATTCTTCATGGTTGGCAAAGGGTCTTGGCCAATAACTCGTAAATCAGGTAAATACCCTAAGTCATATAAAAGACAGTCAGTCGCTTGTCTTTGTATTTTTAACGAAAAAGAGAAGTGGACAATAGCTCGTAAACAAGGTAAAAATCTTTAAAGTCATAAATAAGACACAATATACAAGGACAGCAATTTGATGAAACATTGTGTTGATGTCGAATTGTTCCAAAAACAAATCAAGTGCAAAATAATTGCCCTCTTTCCTTAGGAATGTTTTTTTTATCTACATGTATATGCATCAAATAAAACGCAGATATAAACGACAATATATCAATTCATCACTTTTGATTTACAAAACACAATAAAACTGATTATATAATCATTAATAATGTAATGAAATGGCAATGTCAAGCACCATGCATACATGTATCACATTCCATTCTCAGGCCTTTATAATTTGTAATGATAATAACGGTACACTGATGTCTGATTCATAAATTTTATAGGGAGCCAGTTGCTACGTGGAGTTCGGGCTACCATAGAACGGTTGCGAGGACGGCAGCAATCCCCTCGTCAATCTTACCACGGCCTTGCGGGGAACAAGTCCTCCTCCAGTTTCCACTACATCGGCGAAACCAAAATGTTGATCAACATTTTACTGGTTAACACTTGTATACTTTGCGTAGGAACAGTCACGATCCAGGTGAGGTATCCAGGAGCGTTTACAAGAGTCGACCCGTTTCAGAGTGGGTCAATGTCTATTCAGTCATATCGATTTTAAAGTTCAGAATTTCAACTTGCCTCGGTGTCCTGGCATATTAAAAACAGAAAAGGGGGACACTTTGCTTTACATGTTTTCGCTGATTTGTCTTTTTTTAGTATTTTATTTATACTGTATATATCTCAATATATACCTCTCAATATATACTGAGAGGTGGAAGGGGGAAACTCAAGGGCATATATTGTATGTTTACATGATGGCTAGAGTTTCGAGTCAAGAATGCCCACGTTTTTTTGGTTTTTTTTTTCAGACAAGCGCAATGTTTCAACTGCAGGGTGCCCAGTTAATACATTTATCTAACACTACCTACGACGACATCAACCCGGCTTACATGGAAGGTTTCACTGCTTTGACCCTTCTGATCGTCATCCCTGTATTTGCCTTCGTACTCAGCCCCCGGTTGGTGATAAAAGGAGGGTTTTATTTTGCTAGCTATTTTAAGATGGGTATGTATGTATGCTAATTTGGTTAAAATGTGGGAAAAAAATACTACCATAGCGATCTAAGATGGATATGTATGTATGCTAATGTAGTTAAAATGTGGATGAAAAATACTACTGCGATCTACATATACTTTAAATTTTAAACCATGCCCAGGAAACACACCAAGTTTGTTTCGCGTGTACAACGAGTGTTTCCTGGCAACCGGCTGGTATCCTAGCTACGTGCAGTTGGAACATCTTTATGGCTGCTGCAGTATATTAACGTTGAACAACAGAGCCTTGAAAAAAAAGATCCGTATTATCCGACACGTAGACTTTAATTGCCTATTTCATTAAGGATGGATAACACTATTGGCACACATATTTGAGTTCTATACACTAAAACCCATATTTTAACATTTTTGTCAGCGTTGGAAGGTTCTGTTATTGACACATCTAAATGTGTTTAAAGTTTAAAGACACACGTTTGTTATACTTCTACAGGGAACAAACTAGGGATTTTTGTTACCAAGGTATATCCAAAATAAAACCGTTGGAAAATAATTATCTATACACCAGTTTTGCAGATCTAAATTTACACTTTTGCCTTTCAGTGTTCCGAAATTAACCAGTTTACATTTCCATCGCCTAAAAGCGTAGAAACTCATTCACGGATTTATAAATCGTAATTTTGTCACTGGTTTGATATACCTTGGAGTCAGAGGGAAAATGATCAAATTTTCAAAAAAATTTTAAAGTGTTTTTTTTTTCTTACACAGGTGTAACGCGCAGTGTATTCCTTTTAATTCATTTGATAGCTTGGAATATGTTACGGCATCGTACAAACTCTGTCTTTGCTTTCTTTTCTCTTCTCATGCAGGTATTGGGATGGTGTGTGGCAGTCTTTCGGTTGTGGCCTTTATCCTATTACAGCAGTATATTGTGGACATGTACCCTGACGGGGACAAGACTGGGTATGCGCTGTTCTATCAGGTTCCACAGTACGCCCTGGTCAGCGTAGCTCAGGTCACCCATATAGCAGGTGCAGTATCGTTATATGTCAACACATGGATTGAAATTTTACTTAGAAGAGTAACAGTGTTATTCAGTTACTTGTTTAATCGAAAGGTGAATGAATTAATGAATTTATTAACCGATGAATCAGTTAATTGTCTGATTAATCATCACAAATGAAGATTAAGACCCCATTCCCATAGATATTTAGATCGATCTATCTCCCTGGGGAGTCTCATTAGATTGGTGTCAGCTTAACAAGCTTAAATATGTGTCCCGCCTACTAAAAGCTGTAAGGGGATAATTAACTATGGTGCGCGCTCGGCTGACTGCAATTTAGCGTGAACCCCCAGGGATTTAGGTCGATCTAAATCTAAATCTCTGGATCGATCAGAATCTCTGGGAACGCACTCTTAGATAAATAAATAGATGTTGTCAATCAATGTACGATGCGGTCCTTTACATGTCCCATACCTTATGTTTCAATTGGACACTTCTCTGTGATGCTTTAGATAAAGTGACATCATGGCAATTTTTATCTACATAGTGACGACATTGCGTTTTTCATCTGCATCTTCGTTTGCGCTCTCATCATCTGATTAAACACATTGTAGATTTCGCCAGTGATGAACTTCGTCTTTGTCGTCCTTGTAGTTTGATAAAGCTGTCTAATTTTCTTGTTTTATTTTGCTATTTTAGGGACATATTAAAGTTTACGTTTTGTGGATGACTATCTCCATATTATGTATGTTGTGAAACCTAAAAAAGATTCAGATCTGGTACGATGTTATTTTCACTTTCAGCGTTGGAATACAGCTACCAGGGTGCGCCACAGATGCTGAAGTGTGTGTCCGTTGCCATCTACGAACTAGCCATTGGACTCTCATTCTTCGTCACGCTGATTGTCGAGAAGATAAACCTAACCAATGAATGTAAGGTTGATTTCGATAAACCTAAATAAACCTGAATACGATACAGTCCCTGGCAAAGAACGCCGTTTTTTTTTTACCTTTGTTAAAGACTTCAACCTGGGGGAGGGGGGTGTATAAGCCTGCATGTCAGTTGTACAGTGCGCTGGTCCGTGTATTCATGACTATAATGTAAATACACAACTATTGAAAAATATGCATAAGTCATGTCTTTAATAAGTTTTCTGAATATCTAACACGTTTCATCTTTAAACAAAGGTTAGTCTTCAATTTAAATGTATTCATTTGTCTGTTCCTTTCACTTATTATTATTATATCTCCCTGTTGGTGTTCAGAACTTGAGAGCCCGTGTAACAGAGAGTCCTCCCTCCATTAGATTCATACATGTGAAGGCTAGCATAGCACCAGTGGATCGAAGTCTAGAACGCGGGAACTCTCTTCTACCCTTTATACCCCCGTCACACTAGAGGAGGAATGAGCAAGAATGCCGTCGGAAAGACAATTCTTTGTGCGTTCCTGGAGCATTTTAAAAATTCCGAGTGCATTCCAAATATTTTTACCCATTCTTGTGGCCGGCCCGAATGTTTTGCTCACGTTAAAATCTTTCGAAGTGCATTCCAAGTGGAAAATTATCGAATGGCATTTGAATAGTATTCTAACTGAACTATGACTGCATTCTAAATATTCTCACAGCATTCTGACAGCATTCGAAACATTATGATCACATTCGAGGAAGGACCGAAATGGCAAGACACTTCAGATCCTGCTAGAATGAGCCAGAATGCAACTCTTATGCATCTCGATCCTATTTCATCCAGCAATCGAACTACACTCGTACGGCATTCGAAGTGTATTCTAAATACTCTGACTGCATTCTGACAGCATTATTGATATTCCTACATGTAGTTTTCCAACTACATTCGAGCTGCATTTGAGAGCTAATACAGCCGAAATGTGCACGAATCAGTCTAGGCGGATTCAGGCTCATTCTGAGTAGGCCTATTCCAACAGCATTCTTACAAGAATTTAGGTCAATTTGAAATTTCTTCCAGAATGAAGTACGAATTTACAAAATTCTTCATTTGGCTGGTTCTGTTTGATTCCTGAATCCGAATAAGTGTGACGGGGCCTTTAACAGAGTCATATAGAGTTTTTTTTACTAGATATTCATTTACTGTATATTTAAATGTGACATAATCACTTTTTATTCAGGTATGCATCATCGCGCATTTTATCGTGAACAGTGGGCACAGTATGCCGAAATCACTGTTAAATCGTTGGCATTAATTCACTCTTGGCAATTATCTAAAATTACATTTTGAACCAATTGTTTTTCAAATATATATATTTCAGCAAGTCGGTTCGACCCATACGACGTAAGAGATGATAGCATGGAGTACACCATGACAATATTCCCACTGGTTGTTTCCACACTCGGCGCATGCGTGTTTCTCGCCCTGGCGGTGCGGGCGTACCGTCAATACTCTGGAGCCTCGAAACAGTACAGTCCGCGGTACAACCAAGTCCGCTATGGGAGTATAGTGGTAGGCAAGGCAGGCAATAATGAAAACGCCTCGTAAATATCGAGAAAGCAAAGAAATACAATACACGAACAATGTGAGTGACTTTGCAAAATGGAGTTATCTACACAAAGTGCGTAACGAACTGTACACCAACAAGCACGTAATACACGCCAGTAATATATTTTAATATAATTAGAAACAACTATTGATGTCATTATGAAATTGACATGTAACATTAGGCATTGCAAACTTTGTTTTTGTAACATGAGGCATTGCAAACTTTGTTGTTTTTTTTTTAAACTTAAAAGTTAAAACTTAAAAGAGGAAACAAAGCTGAGCAGTGTTGAAAAGCTGTGTTGAACATTGAATTCGTGCAGTTGGACAACGTCATTCGCACTGATGAATAACATGAATACATTTAGACAGAATAAGAGCTTGATTTTTTCTAAGTTTGACGACCAGTTTGATTGACGTGATCTATCTATATTCCTTGTTAACGCATGATGAGGACCAAGATGACGGCTGACACATTGTGGGGACCAAGATGGAATGGTAGATTCGAAGATTCGACGTCCCTCCCCCCCTCCCCCCATCTGTAAATTTTTTTTTTCATTCCCATGTCCTTCATGTTATTATATCAATTGCCTTCGCCAAATGTTATGACGCACATGATATTCATCCTTTTGAGCACCTCCTTTAGCAAACCCCTAAACCCAGTGTGACAAGAATGGTAGTCCTATAGCTTTAACTTTTAGTTCGGGTCCCATTATTGTTAGTACAGGTGAGAGTTAGTCGTATTATTGGGCTTAGTAAATGAGATGAATGTTACCTGTACAAAGTGATGGAGAAGGAACTACGAACCCTAGCGGACTATTTTAAACTATGGTATTTTTTTTTTTCTTTTTTTTGTAAATTGAACGCCAATTAAATGTTTCGAATGCCATTGGGTAGAATTTTAGGGCCCGTAGTTAAGAGCATGTAGCTGTTTTGTATCACTGAACGCCACTTGAACGGCGTGATTATTGATAATTCTAATTTGGATTTCATTATGTTATGTATTCCATTATATCTTATCCATTATCTGTGCCAGCCTTTATATTGAGAATAAATGTCGTACATACGTGTAATATAACATACAGGTTTGAAATAGATAGTTCTATTTTTTTTTATTTCTTCTTTTGTGTATTTTTTAATACCTCGGTATTATCTTAATAAAAGTCTGTATTATCTTTAAAAAATTCCCATGTATATACATGTACGACAAATGTATCGGTTTTCCTGAACAGATTTCTAAATCAACCCAAGTCACAAAATGTATTAAAGTTAAAATAAAAGATGTTTTATTTATTAACTAATTTATTATTATTATTATTATTATTATTATTATTATTATTATTATTATTAATATTAAAACCAGTATGAAAAAATATTTTTTGATCTGATCTTTCATCGAATATGTACCACGTTTGTGTGCTAGAAAACTGAGTTGACAAAATCGCGTGTACTCTTTAATGGAAAGTCACTCAGGAGTCTCGGGTGCTATATGACGCCGCTATGCAGTGATCTCCATGTTGGTAGGCGTTGCTGAGATAACAGTTTCCTCATGGACAGCCAAAATGAGGCTANTGTGGACATGTACCCTGACGGGGACAAGACGGGGTATGCGCTGTTCTATCAGGTTCCACAGTACGCCCTGGTCAGCGTAGCTCAGGTCACCCATATAGCAGGTGCAGTATCGTTATATGTCAACACATGGATTGAAATTTTACTTAGAAGAGTAACAGTGTTATTCAGTTACTTGTTTAATCGAAAGGTGAATGAATTAAAGAATTTATTAACCGATGAATCAGTTAATTGTCTGATTAATCATCACAAATGAAGATTAAGACCCCATTCCCATAGATTTTTAGATCGATCTATCTCCCTGGGGAGTCTCATTAGATTGGTGTCAGCTTAACAGGCTTAAATGTGTGTCACGCCTACTAAAAGCTGTAAGGGGGTAATTAACTATGGTGCGCGCTCGGCTGACTGCAATTTAGCGTGAACCCCCAGGGAGTTAGGTCGATCTAAATCTAAATCTCTGGATCGATCTGAATCTCTGGGAACGCACTCTTAGATAAATGAATTGATGTTGTCAATCAATGTACGATGCGGTCCTTTACATGTCCCATACCTTATGTTTCAATTGGACACTTCTCTGTGATGCTTTAGATAAAGTGACATCACGGCAATTTTATCTACATAGTGACGACATTGCGTTTTTCATCTGCATCTTCGTTTGCGCTCTCATCTGATTAAACACATTGTAGATTTCGCCAGTGATGAACTTCGTCTTTGTCGTCTATGTAGTTTGATAAAGCTGTCTAATTTTCTTGTTTTATTTTGTTATTTTAGGGACATATTAAAGTTTTGTGGATGACTATCTCTATATTATGTATGTTGTGAAACCTAAAAAAGATTCAGATCTGGTGCGATGTTATTTTCACTTTCAGCGTTGGAATACAGCTACCAGGGTGCGCCACAGATGCTGAAGTGTGTGTCCGTTGCCATCTACGAACTAGCCATTGGACTCTCATTCTTCGTCACGCTGATTGTCGAGAAGATAAACCTAACCAATGAATGTAAGGTTGATTTCGATAAACCTAAATAAACCTGAATACGATACAGTCCCTGGGAAAGAACGCCGTTCTTTTTACATTTGTTAAAGACTTCAACCTGGGGGAGGGGTGGTGTATAAGCCTGCATGTCAGTTGTACAGTGCGCTGGTCAGTGTATTCATGACTATAATGTAAATACACAACTATTGAAAAATATGCATAAGTCATGTCTTTAATAAGTTTTCTGAATATCTAACACGTTTCATCTTTAAACAAAGGTTAGTCTTCAATTTAAATGTATTCATTTGTCTGTTCCTTTCACTTATTATCATTATATCTCCCTGTTGGTGTTCAGAACTTGAGAGCCCGTGTAACAGAGAGTCTTCCCTCCATTAGATTCATACATGTGAAGGCTAGCATAGCACCAGTGGATCGAAGTCTAGAACGCGGCTAACAGGACCTTGTATCACTGGGGACTCTCTTCTACCCTTTATACCCCCGTCACACTAGAGGAGGAATGAGCAAGAATGCCGTCGGAAAGACAATTCTTTGTGCGTTCCTGGAGCATTTTAAAAATTCCGAGTGCATTCCAAATATTTTTACCCATTCTTGTGGCCGGCCCGAATGTTTTGCTCACGTTAAAAACTTTCGAAGTGCATTCCAAGTGGAACATTTGAATAGTATTCTAACTGAACTATGACTGCATTCTAAATATTCTCGCAGCATTCTGACAGCATTCGAAACATTATGATTACATTCGAGGAAGGCCCGAAATGGCAAGACACTTCAAATCCTGCTAGAATGAGCCAGAATGCAACTCTTATGCATCTCGATCCTATTTCATCCAGCAATCGAACTACACTCGTATGGCATTCGAAATGTATTCTAAATATTCTGACTGCATTCTGAAAGCATTATTGATATTCCTACACACACTGGATAATAGAAGTGTCACCCCTACTGAACCAATACTATGGGGGAGATAAATGACTGAGGAATGATATGCTCCTGGTATCATATTATTAACATCTAATTTCACAAAAGATCACAAAATGAGAACAAAATATACATTCTACCAAAATATGCAGTTTCAAGTCCAAAATTAGTTCTTAGTGGCATAGCCACGTGACCTAATAATAGGTGCCAGTCTACGAGGCAAGGATTCATATAACTGTCTGATGCGTTCAGGGCTTATGCTGGCCCAAGCATGAAACACTGAATATAACAGAGTTTCTCTGCTGGTTAGACAGGAATTTGTCAAAAGTTTTGACATATTGTAGCGGTTTTTGAGTCTAAAGGTAGCGTGCTAATAAAAGTTCAATCCCAAGAAACAGTTCTTTTTGTCAATAAACAGTTTTATTTAAATCCAACGAAGTTTGTAAGGAGGCAATAAAAGAAAAAGTTCAATGTGTCCAGATATAATTCAAATGATACTGATGAAGAGTTTAATATGAATGCATAATCCAGGGTGCTACTAGGTAAAGTCAATAATCCTAGGAGGTGTAGGCATCGGTTAACATCGTACTGGTACTGGTGGGCTTCACTTCGGAATTATTCCTGCCGACGGTAACCTAGGGTCCCGTAGCTACGCTGACCCTGTCGGGATAATCTGACTGAGATATCCCTTAACGTTGGTGCCCCCAGCCAACGTATCGCTTGTCCTAATCGACCTCCTGCCTAAGGTCTGCCTACTCTACACGGGAGATATTTCCCTCGTCGTTGGTGCCCCAGCCAACGTAACTCAGGCCTTCGTTGCTACGCAAAGCCTGTCGGGAGAATCTGACGGAGATTTTCCCTGTCGTTGGTACTCCTGCCAACGTATCACTCTTCCTAACTAACCAACAATCAACCGCCCCAGTGAACCTGCCAGAGAAAGTAGAAACTTTCTCAATCGGAGCCTCGAGCGTAGCCTTGTCCCATCAGATTCGACCAACCGCCCCAGTGAACCTGCCAGAGGGAGTAGAAACTCCCTCAATCGGTACCTCGAACGAGTAGTATCCTCTGTGTCTCTTCCGTGGTATCTTCACCCAGCGTGAGGTGGGCTCTGTGTAAGGAGATAATTTTATCGTTCTCACCTATGAAAGGGGAAGGGGTATAGGTAAGCTCGTAAAGACGTTGTTAGCACCAGAACGTTACTTCTGTACCGCAAGGTCGTCCTGCTCATGTTGTGTAACTCGCCAGAATTATTGGCCACAGTGCTGACGAGGGTAATGGTTCCAGTCACATGAATCAATAAATTGTTACAAACGCCCAAATATTTACCGGACGCTCCCATGGGGGTCTTTATGGCCCATAATGATAGGAATTACTTTGATAACGATTGTTAAAAATTTGTTTCATTACAATATCATTCCACACATTTTTATTATGTTTGCATCCGGACTCTGGGCAAACCAAATCACCCTGCGAATGTCCTGTTGGTCAAACCAATCATCAACTGCTCTGGGCCTGTGACAAGGAGCATTGTCATCCTGGTGAACAAATGAATGATTCCTGTCACCAAACATGTTAGTAATAGATGGTAGCAATTACATGTTTCCATCAACCACTATCAATTCGCCCACGCCATGGATGCCTATGCAGCCCCACACCATGATGAATATGCTGCTCCGGGTTCGAAAATTCAGTTCATGTGGTTCAAATGCTTTACAAGCAGTCCGCCAGCATCGTACCTGTCTGTCATCAGAGGTCATACCAAAGCGACACTCATCAAAAATATATATATATATAGGACCAATTGTCATGGACTGTCAAATTCCAGATCCTGTTGACCCTAGTTCACTCTACGTTGCGCGTTTTGTAACGATATAAGAGGTTTCAGCCTTGCTACCCTGCTGTACACTCTCTGAGCATGTAACCGAAGCCTAGCAATTTTCACAGACACATTCTTATGTGTGAAATTGTTCCACAGTGTTGTCAACTGACAAGCAGTGTCGAACTTTGACAACCTGGACATCAAAATCAGTCGTCGGTCTTCACGGCCAGTAGTTTTTCTTGGACGACCCATCACAGGCAATTTGTCTCTTGATCCAGTGTTTCTATACCGAGACCAGACCCTCTGCACGGTTCTGACTGAACAATTCAATTGTATCGATATTCTGACATTGCTTACATTCCGCCTCTTCAGGTTAATAACTTGACGCCTATAACTGTTAGATAGTTGCCTGTATCTTGCCATATTGGAGGAAGACAGGAATAACATTTGCTGTACATGTACAAGACCAACAATACAATTCCATGGTATAGCGGTTTTACACTCATTAGTCACATTATAAGTAGACC